TTTTTGATAAGTATTTCCCTGTCTACCGTTTCGAAGGCTCTTTTAAGGTCAAGAAAGACAGCAACCACCACTTTCTTATTATTTAGGTCGTCTTTCCACTCCGATATCACAAAGTTAAGAGCTGTTTCGCACGAATGTTTTTTCCTAAAACCCGACTGTTGACTGACAAGTATTTTGTTTGAATCTAGATGTTTTACCAATTGATTCTTAACATACACCTCAAGAATTTTAGCATCACTTGGTATGGTATTTATGGGTCTGAGCTCTTCTGGTTGTATTGTCTTTTTGACTTTTTCAACTGGGATCACCGTTGACATTTTCCACTTTTCTGGTACAATACCATCTTCCAAACTGCTATTTATTATTTGGGCGTAGAAATACCCTGTATACATTATAGAGTCTTTTATTACACCGTCAGACAGAATTTTTCTACCGCCTATTTTGTATTTAAAATCTTGCAGGATTTTTTATAACTTCATCGGTTGTAATTTTTGCAAACTTAAATTCGGAATTGGCGTGACTACCACTTAGTGTTATATCGAAATATTCTATAATATTATTTATTTCTATCACACTATTTATAAAAAACTTGTTAAGTCCATTTGCCAAAGCAAGATCATCTTCTACCAATATACCATCGATTACCGCTTTATTAATACCTTCCTTATCACGCGCCAAGCAGACCGTGGATTTAAGGTACTTCCACATTTCTTTGGCGTTGTTTTCATTCATTATGACTTTATTTTCCATGTATTTAATTTTCTTTATTTTAACCAGGTTTTTATACATTTTATTAATATTTTTGTATTCATCCCACAATCCTGTCTGTATAGCACATGTATATAAATAAAATTTATGTTTATTTAATTGTGCAAGCTCTCTATCGTACCACTTATTCATTAGTTTTATATGTACTTCTTTTTCATAAGTTAAATTTTCCATTGCATGCGTTAAAATGTGGTTCACTAGTTCAACTTTATCATCAATTAATGCGTTTTCATCGATATTAAAATTAAAAGTCCTTAGTAGGTTTAATAAACTGTCATTACTATATTTATCCCAAGCAATAATTTTCTTGGACACTCTCATCTTATAAGATTTAGATGATGGAACATTGAACATTATAGTTTCATGATCGGAAATTTTGTATGCTTGCAAAGATTTACACTTTATTTCTTCTGAATTTGAATATACGAGATCAATTTTAGATTCAGCTGTATCCGTAATTCGTGTATTAAAATCCACTTTTTGAGCCATACCCATCACCGAAAATATTTCATTCAGTCTTGTACTATATGTTGATATATGATTCATGTTAATATTAAAATCACCAACTATTATATTGTGGTTACTTTTTTCATATTTATCAATTAATATTTCATTTAAATTGTCTAAGAAAGCTGCATCACTTGTGCTTGGCGAGTGATAGAGCACCACTATTTGCCAATTTTTACCCAGTTTTTTCAATTTTATTACAATACACCACAAGTTCATGTTAACACTATCATTGTATATTATATTAAAGTTTATTTCTCTATGTACGTATATTAGTACTCCGCCAGTGTGCCTGCTGTGGGAATCACATCTTATCATGTTAAAAGTTGCTATTTCCAATTCTTTATCTTCAATATCTTTTGTTGTACACGTTTCAGAGCATAATATGATCGCCGGCTTATGAACTTCCGCCATCACTTCCAATTCACTTTTATTCGAAACTATGCTATTAATATTTAAGTAAATACATTTTAATACACTGTTAGCAGCATTTGCAGACTTGCTTTTGCGGTTAACTTTTGCGGGAATATATTCCTCATGTTGATCTACAACTTCTGAGTGGTGTGTTAGTTGCTAATAACCAAGCCTATGCTTTTTTGCACTTAAGTGCTTTAAATAGACTGGACAATCTCGGCTATTACATAAGTGATTTTCGTCTAGCCCTAAGTTCAATTTTTCATTAGCCTTTATGCAATTTATACACTTGTTTTTAGTTTTATCTGAACCTCGACATACCAGACGGGATGTATGTATGTATTTAAGCCAATTCCAAGACGTAGTTTATATTTTAGTTATGAGCAAACTTCTGCCGGGTCGTATGTGTCACGTTCGGATGGAAAGGGTTAACCAAAACTCGTAAAGGTTAAGTTTCAGACTGTGTAATTTTTAACAAGAATTCAACAATCTCTCGTAAAAACGTCGAGCTTTTTAATAAGGTATCGTAGAAATAATTTTGTAGCCGATTTCATTTTAGTGTAATAAAGTTCAAGTTTGAGGTAGCTATGACTTTTTTTGCAATTTTTTCTAGACAGTGTTATGCATATTCTTCTGTCCAAAGTATGCTCGACTTAATTGCGCTTTGTAATTGTAATTGTAAAACTGAAAAAACTAAAAATCTGCATACACAAAATCTTTGTAAGAAATCTAAGTGTGATGTAAATCGAATGTTTTTTTTTTGTTAATATTGCACGGTTTTATTAAGGAATAAACTATGTTTTTATAAAAAATAATTGAAATTAAATGACAAAAAATAAATTGTTAAAGCTTGTCAATATTGGGTGCGCTTATAATTTTAACACCGGTGGCATGAATTTATGTATTTGCGACGTATGATTTATTTTTTTTTTTT